AACCAACCACAGGTCGTGGACGCAACCACCACACAATGTTTAACTGCACTGCAGGTTGCTACGCAAGTCGATGCAGGGAAAGCATCTCACGAGTCAATCCTGAAAGCATCTCACGACGTTCACGAGAATCGAACGCGCGACCTCCCTTATGGGAGGCAAACACTTAACCAAACGGCTAAGTGGACTAGGGTGAAAGTTAAGCCCCAAGTTGAGCACTTAACCCCACCCCAGCACGGATTTCTTCGCGTCCCGGCGTACCCAGTCACACACAACCAACCACAGGTCGTCAACGCAACCACCACACAATGTTTAACCGCACTGCAGGTTGCTACGCAAGTCGATGCAGGCAAAGCATCTGACGAGTCGATCCTGAAAGCATCTCACGATGTTCACGAGATCGAACGCGCGACCTCCCTCATGGGAGGCAAACACTTAACCAAACGGCTAAGTGGACCGGGGTGAAAATTAACTCCCAAGATGAGCACTTAACCCCACCCCAGCACGGATTTCTCCGTGTCCCGGTTTACCCAGTCACACACAACCAACCACATGTCGTCGACGCAACCACCACACAATGTTTAACCGCACTGCAGGTTGCTACCAAAATCGTTGCACGGTCGATCTGGGGTGAAAGTTAAGCCCCAAGTGGCAGCACGAGTCGATCCTGAAAGCATCTCACGACGTTCACAAGAATCGAACGCGCGACCTCCCTCATGGGAGGCAAACACTTAACCAAACGGCTAAGTCGACTGGGGTGAAAGTTAAGCCCCAAGATGAGCACTTAACCCCACCTCAACACGGATTTCTCCGCGTCCCAGTGTACCCTGTCACACACAACCAACCACAGGTCGTCGACTCAACCACCACACAATGTTTAACCACATTGCAGGTTGCTACGCAAGTCGATGCAGGGAAAGCATCTCACGAGTCGATCCCGAAAGCATCTCACGACGTTCATGAGAATCGAACGTGCGACCTCCCTCGTGGGAGGCAAACACTTAACCAAATGGCTAAGTGGACTGGGGTGAAAATTAAGCCCCAAGATGAGCACTTAACCCCACCCCAGCACGGATTTCTCCGTGTCCCGGTGTACCCAGTCACACACAACCAACCACAGGTCGTCGACGCAACCACCACACAATGTTTAACCGCACTGCAGGTTGCTACGCAAGTCGATGCAGGGAAGCATCTCACGAGTCGATCCTGAAAGCATCTCACGACGTTCACGAGAATCGAACGCGCGACCTCCCCCATGGGAGGCAAACACTTAACCAAACGGTTAAGTGGACTGGGGTGAAAGTTAAGCCCCAAGATGAGCACTTAACCCCACCCCAGCACGGATTTCTCCGCGTCCCGGTGTACCCAGTCACACACAACCTAGTTTTCCCTATATGATATTACAATTTTTTATTTTTTTTCCTCTTGATATGCCTCCCACGACCTACCTACCTATGCTGGAATGAGACATTCTTTTCCTGACATATGTGTGGACTTTTCTAAGCATGGAATGGATGACTGCAGATGAGGCACACAATGATGAACGCCAGATACACAGTATACAGCAACAGGGACAAAGCCCGACAAGGCTGTGAAAATCGATAATGCAACCGCTCATTATAAAACCACCATGTTAACCAGTGGTCGGTCAACTAAGCATGGGACCCTAAGGGTTATGGGTTGGATATAATAGGAGAGTTTTGTTTTTTTGTTTTTGTTTTTTTTTGGGACAAATGCTCCAGTCTATTCGTGGGGAGCAACACGTGCTGGGAACCGGGCCCAGCGTCCCATATAATATGATACAAAGGATTTGGAATACCAGGGCCATTACCTGAACAATCTGAGAATCTGGCTAAGAACAATCTGAGAACTACAAAAAGAGTTCAGGAGAATTTTAAGGCAATCTGAGAATTTCCGCTAAGAACAATCTGAGAACTACGAAAGAAGTTCAGGAGCATTTTTAAGAAACCATGAATAACTGTTGACCTACCTACCTATTGCTAGGTTTTTTTTTTTTTTTAGGCAAAAATTCAGGAGCAGACTCAGACCCCCCTCCATCCTCATTACCTCACTCCGGCAAGTCTTACTGCAGCAGAGCCACCATCTCTGCTGCTGCTGTAACCTATTACCATAGGAGTGTATATTAAATCATGGTATATTATATTAATAATATCAGGGTTGCCGGCGTTCGGGACAGGCCGAACGCCCGAACGTACGGGACCCCTTCGGAAGGCGTTCGGCCGTTCGGGCCGACACACACAAAAAAAAAAAAAAAAAAAAAAAAACGTTTTCCAAAAATTCCGAAAAAAGAATATGTTATGGAGAAAACTAAACTAAACAACATTTGCCTGGGCACTACATCCAAATTCTTTACCAAATTTGAATTAAAAATCAAATACAGAAAATAAACACTATGATAGAAATAAGAAAAAATAAAAAGAGAATTAAAAAGAGTGAGTGTACCAGCGCCCTTTTCGACACCGCCATCTTTGCCGATTTTTAATTATTTTTGGGCATACACAAATTCACTGAAAATTAACAGATATGTATTTTACATAATCAATAACTCATTAAAAAAAATTCAAAAAATAATAAAAATTTTTAGGCCCCGAAATAAAGTGAAAACAAAAAGTTAAAAGTGAAAACAAAAAACAAAATAGTGAGTGGGCGAGCACGTTTTGACACCCCCATCTTTGACGATTTTTAATGTTGTTTTGGCTTAGCAGAAGGGCTTCAAAATTTATAGGCGTGTAGGTTACATCATAGAGAACTCACAAAAAGAAATTCAAAAACAAAAACTTATTTTTAGGACCCGAAAAAAGTTTTGGCGGGGGCCGAACCTGGAGGTGTTCAGCCCCCGAACGGGACCCCGAACGCCCGAACGTTCGGGGCCCAGCCTGGGGTCCCCCGAACGTTCGGTCAGGTAACCCTGAATAATATTATATTTTAGGGATAATTTGCAAAATGCCCCCATAAGTTGAGATATATGCCAAAATGACCCTAAAAGATGTAGGTAGAGCGGAATGCCCCTCTGACAAAAAATAAAATATTTTGTGAAATACCCCCGGTGTAGGTTGGACCCCCATCTTTGCAATACACCCCTACCAGGTACGGCCCAACTTTGCAATATGCCCCAGTACTTGCCTGCCAGCTTTTCGTAGGCGCTATTGCACAAGGCCAAGGCCCAAACGCGGAGGTCCAGATTGCAAAGTTGCACACCCGACCTATGATGGTAATAAATATGGTTAACCCGCTGACAGGGCCACAACACAAAGATTTCGGCCCAAAAGGGCATTCCGCTCTACCCACATCTTTCAGGGGCATTTTGGCATATATCTCAACTTATGGCGGTATTTTGCAAAAATTATCCCTACACTTTATTTAGTTATTCAGTTATGGGTTTTTTTTTTTTTTTTTTTTTGCATTGTAGTACTCATTTATTTTTATATTTTATTCATTTATTTATTTGTTATGGTGGCGGTTGGCTGTGACAGTTCCAAGCCAAGCAGCGTCAACTCGAGGGATTACTTACTGCAGCGCAGAATGAGACGAGCTCTGCACAGCAAAGCCTACAAGAGGTGAGCGAATATTGAACCTTCAACCAAACATCCACTTCCTGGGCCGTGGTCCCACAAGCAAAGAGGATCGGATCGAATGTCTGAATCTGGTCGAGGTTATGGAGATGTGCAGGGAATCGAGATTGAACTGCTCTTCTGCATCTCTGCATAAAACGCGTCCAGATTCAGGAGCTCAATCCTATCCTTCTTGCTAGTGGTGGGACCTCGGTCCTGGACAGGGCCGACCACAACTCATCGTGTTCAGCACCAACGACAACCTTACATAAATTGAAAACAAAAAATTAGTCTTCCATGGTGAGGTCCTCCCAGCAGAGAGGGTTGGAGTAAGCACAACCACAAAAAATCTGGATGTGATTTGTGCAGCGATGCACAAAAGCCAATCAATCGCATTTTTTCTGCACTTCTAAGCAAACGCAACACCAAAAAAATCTGCTCTCTGCACCGCAGGTACTTCGGTACAAAGGCAGTCGGCCTACACGGTAGACGTCGGTTCAAAACCAGAAAAAAAATGAAAAGCAAATCAAAGGGCCCTGTCTCGCCGGGCTATCTTTCTCCTCCGTTCTCATGCTAAGGCAGTCTCGCCGGGCTGTCTTT